TTCTAATCATTCTCCATCTAGTAGATGCACTGCGATATCTCCATCAGGAATGACGAAGAGACAAACGATCGACTATTGAGTACTCGATTACATTAATACGCTATTGCCAAGATAAACGCTACCATTACCAATTAAGAAAGGCCCCCTGAGAGCTATCTACACACCGTCAACCCAAACAAGATCCCCTCGACCGAATGCCATCACCGACAAACAGAATTACATAAATGGCTGACCACTTTTGTTTTGCCTCCGCATTCGTGTTTACTACATGTCGCTTTTCGCGGTATCCAGACCGGTCTCTGTACTTTTTTTATCCGCCCGCAAACTTTTCTCTCATCCGGTGCTAGACGAACTCGCTCGGACGAACGAGGTCGTTCCGTGGAACGAATCAAAGATTCTCAAGAATTCCGAGAAGAGGGGGAGGGGTGCATTCTGGGCGCGAAAGAATCGCGAAGAATCGGAGACGCGCGACGCAATCTCGTTTCCGCACTGCGTTCAATTAAACGGGAAAACTCGCCGACGACCTTCCGCTGGCTTCTTCGCGGGTGGGGGTGGAGGAGGAGAGAAGAGGGGAAATCATGGCGGAGGTTCGACCAACCCGAAATTCAATTTCACGGGGCGTAGTTCTCCGCGAATTTCGTTTCGGCGCGACCATAGCCCGTTGCTTTCGCGAAAACGCCGCCAAATTTTCAATGTTTTTCGACGTTCGAGAGGAGCGTTCATTTCTCGACGAAGGATCCCTCATTCTCGAAGGCTCCGTAGGTTTCCTGGTTCCTTTCGTTTTAGATACCTAAAAGCCGCTAGACACCTAGCGCCGTGGGTGCGCAAGGCAGGTGCGCAGTAGACCTCTACGCTCCGCTACCAACGTTCTTGAGATTCCTAATAACTTCGTCATTGAATTTATATTTTCTAAGCAAAGTGTCACATAGAATCTCTTACTTAAATGCGAACGTAGTAATCGCAATGCACGGTACAAAACACCCGCGTATTGCGATCACTTTGTTTCGTGAATTTTTAACGAAAGTTTTATTTGGAATTTCAAGACGACAGCGAGCCGATCTCCATCCCAACCATGCACTCGTTACGAAACTGGCATATGTCCGTCTTTAAAGGCTAGAAATTTTCAATTTTACCGATCGAAAAATCGACCGGAAGTCTGTCCGCGACGCTCCAATGAAGCGAAATGGGAGAGTCCTCGCGCGCGCGGCAGAGATCGGACAAAAAGACACACCCCCGCGTGCTAAGGTGTGAGTGCCTGAATGAGTGACGCGATGACTGCGATATGTTGCGAGAGCGAGCGAGAGCGTGAGAGTTAAAAGAGCCACTGCCTTAGCGACAGCAGGATCCGTGCTAGTAACAAGGCCTTAGAAAGTAACAAACCAGAAACATAATTAGAGTTAAGTAAGATCTGTTGTTGTTAACCGATTTAAAAAAAAAGAAAAAAAAAGAAGAAAACCTGAAAGAAAAAACAGAGAAATAACGGTACTTAGAGGTGATTCGGGGAGGACAAAAATGATGTTGACGTATTGTAAAACTACTTAGCCGTTGTACGATATTTAAGCGCGTAACGTAAATAATATTATACTTAACCCCTCGTGCCCGCAAAGTAAGTAGGCGTGTCTTAACGCGCGTAGAGTTTTACGTAGGATTATTAATTAAATCGTCGTCGCTTGTCGCAGAAATGAAGAAACAGTAAAACGGTGAAAAATATACCACGGGGGAAAGCGAGGGAGGAGTTTCGAAGATAAAAAAATAAATATATATATATATATATATATAGAGAGAGAGAGAGAGAGAAATAAAAAGAGTGAAAACGAGAGTGTGAGTGAGAGATCGCAAGTTGGAGCGGAAGAGCCAACGACGAAAGAGAACGAAACAATTAAACGGGACAAAGTAGGCGCGGAAGAGAAACGAAGATGGCGCGCGGTTCGCTTATCGCCGCGAGTCAAATCGCGGTTTATCGGCGAAACAAATTTTTCATCTTTCTCCTTGACTTTGTTTTCTGCTCTTGCCTTACGAAAACACACACAAAAAAAAAAAAAATAAAGAAACGGAGATGGGCCGCGTCAGGCCCGAGATCCGTCGAACGACGAAACGAGAGAGTGAGAGAGAGAGGACGCGTTCGATCGAGGGGAATTGAATCTTCGATGGCGCCGCCATATACACACACGTACATAACACGTATACATACACGTACAGGACACTTGACAACAAAAAAAAAAAAAAAAACTACGACTTTAAATCCGATGTTAGCGTAGCGTACGTACCGTAAGCTGTCGACATTTATACTATGAACTATGAGTAAATTGTAGCGATTATTGTGAACATAGTTAATAGTATAGATTAGTTAACGCACTAATTGTACCGACAAATGGAGTACATTTAATTACGAAAATAATCGTCGAGGTCTCGTTCTGTTTGCGCGTACATTTTACGGCGAGTCGAGCCGTGCTAGGTAAATGAAAAAAATAAATTATTACAGGATGAAAAATACCAGAGTGAGAGAGTGTGAGAGAGAGAGAGAGAGAGAGAGAGAGAAATAGGGGGAAGGGGGGATAACGAATCTTTCTCGACCACTCGTACTTCTCGAGTTCGTTGTTACGTGAAAACCAACGAGCGAAGATTATATGAACTTTCGCGAACGAATGGTGACAATTACACAGTTCAATACTCGGATAGCAGGATGCCGCGATCGAAAGCGCCTGCGTCCATTTGACGCGCGCGTTTCTCCGAAACTCGTGGCGCTGTTGGCTTATCGACAGAGTCGAGAAGATTCGCGCGAGTTTACCGACGGAGTCGAAGAGATTCGCACGATCTTATCGACGGATCGAGTAAACTCGCGCAACCTTACCGACACGGTTTTATTCGCGTCGATCTATTTACACGATTTTATTTATGTATATATCCGTTCATTACAGAAACGTTTTTTTGTCTTCCCAGATCGAAGCAATCGGTTCTTGTGAATCGAATCATTCCAACGAGACGAAGTATCTATTTTCAAGAAGGAATAATAGAGAACGCGCACCACCAACGGTTAAGTCATTAACCAACCAAGGGTTAATTGCGCGGATCTCCTCGTTCCTCCGCGAGAATTCGCGGGAAGAACGAGGTGAGGGTTTCGGTGATTGTCGTTCCGAAACCCAAGCGAATCTTCGCGTGCATAATTTGTTCGAAAACTCCCAAGAAAGCGTATCGAAGTTCCGCCGCGCAACTTCCACGGTGGAACGGGTGTAATTAATTGGCCAATTAAATCACGTGCGCGTGCACGTGCCCGCAGCGACTGGATATCGAGGACGCCGTCGTTCTCCGCACTCCCAGCCATCGTCGACGTTTAATTTCGTCGTTTGCCTCCCAACCATCCGCCCTGTCCTGTTCTATGAAACGACCAAATCGGGCGGCGCGTTCCAAAATTCCCTAGGACAGAGGAACGGATCCGCTTGTCAATTTACGCGAGGAAGCGCAACAAAGTAAAGGCATTAGGGCGACGCACAAATGACGAACGCGACGGCGAGAGAGGCTGAACGGGGGTTATTGAACTTTCGTCGAGAAAGTAACACGTTTTCTGGTGATAGGACTCTTTTAGGATCGCAGATCTCGGAACGCAGTATCGTCTCGAAATAAGCAACTCGCTATCCCCACATTTTTATTTAGCGAACAATTTTTTGTGAATTTATTTTTTAGAAATCATGAAACTTACAGAACGTCTGTCGAGATGCGTTTATTACATAGATTTCGTGATACATAAAAATATTTTTCTCCTTTGCCGCTTCCTTCAAAATGGCGACGTCAGGAGTAACAAGGTATCACATCGAGACTAAGAGATGCATAAAAATGTTAACTTAGTGCAACTGAATCTAGTAATTGTTTATCGAAGGAGTAGCGAAAATTACGAATAGATGGAAAAAATATACCAGAAAATAGATGTACAGCATTGTCTCGAAATAAGGAACTCACTATACTCTCTGAACGCCTCCGTTCCTCGAGACCTCGGTCATCCTCCGGTTTATCCGACTGTCGTACGAGCGCACTTGGGACACATGCACTTAGGACTTGGGAGCGCCGCCGGGTCGGTTGGTCGTTAATTAATCAGGTTATCGATCCGATCGCGTTACCTCGAACCGATTTAAAACCCTGCCCGTTCTAGGAACCTGCACGTGACCTTAAGCGTGGCACACGCGTGCGTGCGCGTGAACACGTGCCGCGAGGCAGCCGTCTAAAGATGCTTCCATTCTGCGACACGTTGCGCTCTCCTCGTCGAATGGACTCCCGTTAACGATTACACGTGAGAGGGCATTCGCAGAAATCTTGGCCCTGCGCTGCGTGACGTGGTCGATAGAGATTCTCGTCGAGCTCGAGGTGGAAATTCAACCAGCGTTTTGCTTGCGGTGTTCTCGTAACGGGCCAAGCCCCGTGTTGACTATCGAATTCCACCTGGACATTGAGTGCATTGCACCGAGACGACTATTAAACGATTCTATCGGATTATCTGCTTCGATACCTCTATTCGAAGTGACTGGAGATCTATTCGAATCGATTCTCTTGAAGTCCCCGCTTCTAGTCGCCCTGAATAAACTAATCGAAGCAGCGAATACAACAGTTTCGAAATGTGCACCCTTTCCCTGCAAACATTGCCCCTAAACGACGGCAACCCGCCCCTCGATTCCAGGTGAAAATCCTGTGTTCATCTCAAATTTATCTCTGCATTTATCTTCGAAATTTCTTTATACGACAACCACCGGTTACAATTTCTCGCGCATCTCAATTATCTCGTTAAATTGCCAGGCGATGCGAATAAATGCGCGGCTATGTACCAACGTTTATGTAACGAAGAAGAGGAACGAACAAAGAAGACGTTCGCCGATAGGTTTGAAAAAAGATCGTATTTCCGAAGGCTCGCGGTTTGTCGGAGTTCGAATTGGATGGGATTCACCGGAAAATTAATGCTCGAGGTTTGCGAGTCGAACGAACGAGCTCGCGAGCGACTTCGATACCTCCACCCACCCACTCCCTTCCACCCGTTCGATATCGTTTTTATCAGTAATCGAGCCGATCCTCTCGTTGCCTCGGATCCGAACCGTCTCCCTACCCTTTTCTTTCTTTCTTTCTTTTCTCCCACTCGTTTCCATCTTTCGCGTCTTTCTTCAACCCCCTCCCACCCCCGCGAGCCTCGTTACTCACCTTTCAAATAACGAAGTCTAATATTCTCGAATTAATCGAGTAGAGATTATTATTTAATAACAATTCATTCGGAATGTAAAGACGTATCGCATGCGTTAATAATTCGGCTCGATTAATTACCGGTAAATTGGAATTCGATATGCGTACACGAAGCTTCGGTCGAACAGTAATTAATTCAATTACATCGTCGATTTATCGTTAATGCTTCGCGTTACGCCACGATGTACTTTGGGCGATCTCGACATTCTTCTTTGCCATTGTACGATTAATTTGATATTTTCCATTCCTGATGCTTCGTTCGAATAAAGTTTCGCACGGCTGCGGTAGCCTAATCGTCGAGCTTCGAAATAGCTTTCCTTTTCGGAGGTTGCGTTAGCCGGAAAACGGGAGATCAACGCCTCTCGCGAATTTATGAACGACGTTTCCGCGATAATCCTGACGTTTCGCGGCAGCCCCGGTATTTACGGTATTTGGGAGGTTGAGGAGATCGCCCCTGGACAGGAGAATTCGGTTCGCTTTTTGGGAAAAATTGCCTCGCGGTTTTATTTCGATGTTTGTTTACTTATTCTCGAGGCGAGAAATTGTGAAACGGTTTGCTAGTTTTCGGATGCATCCCTGGTGTGGAAAATGACGAAATAGTTGGGATTCCAATCGATACAGGAAATTACAAAATGTTGGGAATACAAACTAGAAAGTAAATTTGAACGAAACGAAATTAATTCGTATACGTTGACTGTAGTTTTGCTCCGAGAATTTTCACAAAAGTATCATTGATATAAAATATCAACTGTTGTAATCGTACGATTTCGTACATAAATAAAACTGTATTATGTACTGTATTATGTACTGTGATACCGTATTATGATCGATCCATATTAATGCAACAAAAGAAAAAAGTTCGCCACGCATTTCGGAGATCGAAAAAATTCCGATCAACTCGCGCGACGCGAGGAATGCACCGCGAGAGAGGGAAGAGAGTGACACACACACATACACGCACGTACAAGCGTTTGTAAAAAAAAAAGACAAAAAAGAAATGAGAAATATCCACACACACACACACACACAGACAGACACACACACACAGAGCCACACGAGACGCGAGCGAAGGAAATAAATGAATTAATAAATCTGTAATTTAAGGGCGAAAGAATGGGAGTTATAATAAAAGAAGAAAAAAAAAAGATAAATAAATAAATAAACGATCGAATGAAAGAAGGAGAGATTGCGTGCGTTGTATGCGTGTGCGTGTGCGTGCGAGCACGAGCGCGACGAGAGCGCGAAAGGTAGCTTGCAAAAGGAGAAAAACATTAGAGTTCCGTCTTTTGAGTGTTGGGGAATGTTCATTTGTAATTGTTTAAATCTAACGAGAAATGTACTGTAAAACTATAAGTACTATAGGCACTAAAAATATATCATTTGTTGACATGAAAAAATAAAAAAAACCCGAGTGACGTAATGCTTTGTCGGCTGCGGCGCGCGTTTCCAAGACAGACGGATACCGTTTCTTTATCACCCTCGATTCGTGACGGTGTCTATCGAACACCCACCCATCCTGTAGGCTTTTTTAACGAGAACAAATTTTTTGATTCATCCCTCCCACCCAAATTATTATTTTCCGGATACTTTTGTTAACCAAACCACGGTATAAATACAACCAGTAGCGTCACTTGGTAAAAGTAGCGTCCGCAAATGTGCATACCAAGAACATGGCAACGACGCTGTTTTCTGTATCGTACACTAGATGGTACTAATAGTAACCGACACCTGTACCAAACCGTCCAAAATTCCCTTTGGCCTGTTACAGAACACGCGAGGCGTCTTTTTACGAGCTCGACGCAGCACGTAATCTATTACAATGTTAGAGGCGAATTTATCTAGCTCCCCCAACTTATTGTTAGTCGAGAAGACGAGACGGGACTCTTCTTCGAGGTAAGTGAATAACCCATCCTTCTATCGAAGACTATTAGTCCCTTCGTACCTATAGTTACAGTGTTAAAGGGTTAAAAATAATCGTTCAGGCTTACATGAAAAATCTATTTATGACGCACGTGTTTTATGTACAGCGATAAGAATATAAAGTGCGCGTCACCGCTACTCTTTTTACCGTGAACGTGGACGTTGTAACAAATTGTACTTTGGGGAATGGAACGTGCGATCAACGTCGAATTTCACGAAAGTTTCGCGTTCGTTGAAAAATACTTTCCGGGACCATTCGTCCCGACTACGTAGGACGTCTAACTGCCATAATGAATTCCATGATGGATTCAAACGGGGCCCATGTTGGCGAGAGGTTACTCTCCGAACAATTGTTTATCTCTTTTTCGCGTAGATAAGAATTTCGAACCATCCGTGCCGGAGAATCGTGAAATATTCGGAGAAAATGCAAATAAATAATCGTATAAATTAGGCGGTGAACGATCGACAGTTCGTTTGCTGAGGTCGCGTTATCGACGCCACGTCGCTGCAGCTGTCGCTATTGGTGCTGATGCTGCGTCGTCGGATCGAGTACCTCCATTTTCGGCTGGGTCTCGGGAGACGGTGACGGTGGCTTCTGCTTCGCTTCCTCCTCGGCTTTTTCCTTCACTGGCGGCGGAGGTAACGCGTTCAACAAGCCTTGTACAAAATTCATCGGTTCACTACTCGATATTTAGTTTGTTATTTATATTTTGTCAGGGATTATGTTAACCTCAGTTAACCTCATAGAAGGAAGGTTAAGGGTCATTCAAGGTCAGATGCCAGTTTTATACTTACCAACTGTCTCTCCCTTGAGGGATGCCCCTGCAACGACAATTGAGAATATTATTCAGTGGCGAAATATTAACCCTTTGACAGCGGGACGATTTTTGCTGGAAATCGTAAGATGCGTAGCGGTGTAAATTTCAAATAAAATATCAGCTTGTAGAGAATGATAAGACGGAACTTTTTTATACTCACAGTTTATTCATACGACGCTTAGCTTCGAAGATAAAAATTGATAACTTGAAGACCCTTTTCCTGAAATTCGATATTTCCAACGAACTTGGAACTTTTCAATTCTTATTTTCGAAACTAATGGTCCTGTGAATAAACTGTAAATACAAAAAAGTTTCGTCTCATCATCCCCTATAAGCTGATATTTTTTTCCAAAATTGATTTAACGAAGATAAACAGACCTGACCCGGACTTAACCTAGACCTCGTTCCTGAAATTTAATTTTTCCAACAAATTTCTAACTCTTCAATTTTTATCTTCGAAACTATGCGTCCCACGAATAAATCGTAAATATAAACAACGTTTCGTCTCATCGTCCCCTATGAGCTGATATTTTTTCAACATTGTTTTACCGAACATAAACATTTCTCTGAGCCCGTGTCTCGAGTATAATACATCCTTCGCAGTCAAAGGATCAAGAGTTGTTCGATCGACAAAATCGATTCCTAGAACATGAAGCGCTACCGTTTCCGCGATACTTGTTGAGCTGCTGATAGACTTGCTTCATCCTCTCGATGTTGATCCTGGAGCTCCTGCTGTGATTCACCATAGGCAACGAGTAGTCCTGGCCGATGATGCACTTTGCAGCGCGCTGGACGCTCAGGGGTGCGTTCCAGGGCTCGTGGATGAACCTCGTAGGGAAATTCTTCAAAACGGACAGGTATCGTCTGGCGCCGGAACGGACATACGTTCAATATTTCATTAAAGGTGGTTCGATAATCAACAAGTTAATGAACGTCAGAGGAATTCAAATTGGACTTGGAATGCACCTTGTACAGGAATAGAATAGATGCTAATAGATTACCTGATGTAGTCGCCATTGGGATCGGCCTTTCTGCCGAATCTCACTGGACAGTAACAGTGGAAGAATTGCTGGAAGAAGGAGCTGCACGATAACCACATCCACATCCCTGCGTTGACGGACCAGTCAGCGTCCAGCAGGAGCTCGTCGAACACCTCGAGGAATTTATATAAACATTTATACAAACAATAATGATAATCGTTGCAATAATTGTACAGTACAGTAAAGTCTCTATAAATGCTAAAACTCGGGACCGAACTGGTGCATTCATGGTGGAGTTCGTATATTCTCCGATGTTTTACTGACAAGTTTGGAACGTGAATGAAGGAAGAGGACGGGGCGAACAGATAAAGTCTCCATACAATGGACGAACTCGGGACTAACTGGTGCATTCATGGTAGAGTTCGTATATTCTCCAATCTTTTGTCGACAAGCTTCGAACGTATAGAAGGACACAGCGAATAAAGGAAGAGGACGGAGCGAAAACGAAGTCCCCATAAACGCCCAACTCGGAACTGCGTTTATGGTAGACTTCGTACAGTGCCACAATAGTCGACGTTTTACCTTCATCCCTTCCTCCCATGAGATCCAAAGGTCGCCTCTGGTCAAGAAACAAGCGACGGCGTGTCTGGCCAAGTGATGGATCCATCCCTCCTCCCTCAGTTGAGTCATGATCGCGTCGATCCACGGAAATCCCGTTTGGCCCTGCTCGAAGGACACGGTTCAGGGTTAGAGGCTACTCGCTGAATTATTCCAACGTGTACTTTTTAATTCGCTCACGTTAGCCCACTTGGCGAGTGCTTCGACGTTCTTGTCCCAGGGTATCTGCACGCAAATTGGGTTGCCCTGCATCCTGTCGAACTTCGGATTCTTCGTGGCGGCGCAGTAGAAGAACTCGCGCCACAACAGCTGCCCGTGCAACGACAGCGGCGGCACTGCTTTCTTTATCTGCGATGACGAAGAGTGAATTAGTACAGAGATTACATTACTGTATATCATTCGAAGCTACTCGATTATTGAAATGACACGGAATGGGTGGGTGATTTCTCCGAATATGCAGCGGTGCGTTGCAAGTACAAGTATAAAATGGCGGCGGTCGAGTGTTTAAGTTCCGTAGTCTCTGGGTCGCGGGTTCGTGTCCCCGATTGTGGTTCTTTTTTTTTTCCCACACTGGTCACATACTTTTTCGTGAACATTACAATTCAAAGTTAATATAGTGGAAACATACATTTATTTGCACGAACTTTTATCAAATTTCCAATGTTATTTGGCTATGTATTCATTTTTATTATTACCGGGCAATAACGTGTTAAAGAAAGAAACAAAGGGGAATATGACAACGTGGGACGATAGGACCATTGTATTCTACAGGTCCTCAAGTGCGATGCGATTGGAGACATGGTACCTTCTTGTAGAGATCGGTGAGCTGGTAATAAAAGAGCCTGGTGCTCAAGCATCCGAACCGTAAGTAGGGCGAGAGACCCGTTTGACTGGGCAACAAGGATTGCGGAGTCATTTTCGGCCTGCCGAAACTGGCCACCCAAGCCTTCCTCTCGAGGTGACGACCCAGCCGTGCCAAGGCTTCGCTCTCGCCCCCCACCCACACAGGGGGTCGAAGCCCTTCGGTGTCGAAGCCTGTCAACAATCGGAATAACCCTTTGCAATCCAGAGGTGACTCTCAAGTTTACTCCTCGCTCTCGTTCAAACGTGTTTCTCGTACCCACGGTGTACCGTGGGCGGTCGAAGAGAGGTCACCAGAATTTTGTTTTCCATAAGATGGAAGACTTGGTACATACCAAGTTCCTCGAGAGTCGGAACGCCGTAGTGGTCGTCGTGGTCGTCCTTCAGAGGGGTGTAGGCCGAGCCTACGCAGACGGAAGTGACCGTCGACACTGGCGGTTCCGGCGGTTCCATGCTAGCTACCACGTTTTGAAATTGATGGTACGTCAACGGGGGCTTACCGCCGTTCTTCTCGATGATCCTGGATAAAGGAAACGATGACTATGGCTCGCGAAAGTCAATGGCTCTTTGGAACGAGTGAAACGTTTCGAACGTTTACAGCGGAAGTCAGTGGCGTATCGTACTACAGTGGATAGTGTTTGAGAGACTCCTGAATTCTTTATTCGAGGCAGTTAACAGTATTTGTTCTTTGGAGGACTCGTCTTGTACCGAGCTAGGTGCATTTAAAGAATCTTGAAGAAGAGGAAACGAATTCAAAGAGGAAGGAACTTCCAAGCCCCAAAAAATAAATTCTCTG